TGATTTGCATTGTTGATAACAGCCTCCGCTTATATAAGAAACCATTCGGTACACTCGAGCCATTGCACGAGCTGCTGACGTGGCAGCTGGACGTTGTGCTCGTGCGGGGGCAGGGTGGGTGTACGGGGTCGCCTCCTGCCTCCCTCTCCTGACAATGCTCAGCCGGAGCTGAGCACGTGATATGGGAGCGGAGAGCAAGGGGAGGGGCCCCGAAAGGGGTGCATGGGAGGGGTGCGTAGGGCGCGCTTGAGTAGAAACGGCAGCAGAAGGAGGAGGGAACAACCGATTAAGAAAACGCGGGCAATCCTATGTTACGGTTACTAATTAAAAGTTTGTTTCGGCCATTAATATACATTTCACTATATAAGAACCCACACACTCGAGCCATTGCACGGGTTTCTCGTGTTGGTAGTTGTATAGTGAGCAGGGGGCAAGATGGGGAGCGAGAGTGGCGAGTATGGAAAGGGATGAGGTGAGCAAGTTGGATGTGGGTGGTAGCGAGTGTACCTCTTCTCCTGTTCTCCTCCTTTGCGTGTGCTCAGTCGGCATTTGAGCCCATACAGCGGGAGGGAGGCAGAGCGGATTGGATCGGGCAAACTGGGTACAGCGATGCGGTGTGTAGAGCAGGAGCAGGCAGCAAGAGAAAAGAGAAGGACACTGGAATAAACTGCAAGGTAATCCGTGTCACAGCAACGAATAAGAAGTTGCTCAGATCTCGTGGTATCGCTCTCTGCTATTCATAAGACTCCGAGTTATTACACGAGCTGCCTCGCTAGAATCTGGATGTGACGAGGGGATTAGTAAGAGCAGGCGGGGAGTGCTATGTGCGCTAACTGCTAGCATGGTAGTGACCATCGTGCAGAAGGCGGAATGGGATATGATGTGGTGTGAGGGGTGGCAGATGATGCGCACGAAACTCGCGATCAGCTATCAGCAGCGACTAAGGCCTTTACAGATGTGCAAGAGAGAAAGAGAAATAGGTACGGCCTTCGGAATGAAATCGCAGTAACTATTGCATTATCAAAGTGATGTTGGTATGACGTTTTGGTCCAGTAGTTTACGATAGTCATAAACACCCTTCAAGCAATATTAACACAACATTTAGTTGTTAACCTTCAGAGATCTTTGCAAGGGCTATTCACGTTGCAGATGCAAGTGACGCCTTAGAGTGGCTGAGTGAGGGAATGGCTGAGGCTATAGATCGGGTGATAGGTGCTGTGAACGGAATGTACCATATTCCGCCTGATGAAGATTAGAGTAATCGACTCGCAACGTAGGACTGCGAACCCGTTGAATGCATCCAGTTCACTGGATATTAGTTGAAAAGTTACGCCACAATGCATGACCCGAGCAGTTAACATTCATTTCAAAAAACCTATTTTGCCAATGGACGGTTTGGGGGTGTCAGAAGTGGAGGACAATGACCGAATCCATAGTGCGCGGCTCCCAGAACATGGGATATCGCTTCCAAGCCGTGATAGGGGATCGGTGGCCGTGTGAAACCTTTGGTGGGTGCAGTGATTGATATCATCTATAAGATTCGTAAGGGCCGTGTGAGGAGGAGGGGTGACGAAGCCATAAGTGAGGGTCGCGAGAAATACTTGGTGGAACGAAGGATATTGGTGGGGACCCTGATGTGATACCAGCTGATAAGGCCCGATAATGGGCGTTAGAACGAAGACTACCATATTCACAGTGCCGGCTCGCAGCAACGAGCGGGACTTTGTTTCCGAATCCTATTAGGGTGAAAGGATATTGCCTGTGGAGGAAGCGTGAACAAGCAAAGCCTGCGCATTGTATACAAATCGTTGTATTGAGTACAACAAAAGGTTGTCAATAAATCAGTACAGTATTGCGTTGCCAATCACACACTTACAGCTCTAAATACGCCCTAAGATACTCTCACTGCTAGACCTAGACGGATTGTTCGTGCTGCCCTTCTCGAAACGCTTCGACTGCTCAGCTATCTGAAGTTCCAATAAATGATTGATATTTCTAAGGTAGTGCATTGAATGAAGAAGAATCAGGACATCGCATCGGAGAAGATTGAAACAGAGATCTTCGACCGCCTACGTACTTGGAATTGCAGGAAAATGATGAATGCTCATTCTTCTACGAGAAGATAGGGTTTAGGGTGACATGGGGCTGTGTCAGTGATCTTCGTAGTCCATCGTGCCATGGTGGCCGTAACTTTTTACATACGCAGTTGATGAAGGTCATGGGGGAACTTATGCTGGGCAACATTGCCGATGGGTAAAAGCGAATTTCATCTGCATAGGAATGAAGGTTATGTCACCTACTCTCAACGATTTGTTTTGTTTCGACCTTCTATTTTATTTTAGCTCAACTATAGCCCCTTTCCTCCTTCTCTTTAGCTTCGGCTTCGCCGAGCTGGCCTGGCTTCGCCAGGCGCAGCATAATTTTGAACGCAACTTTCTCGACCAGTGGATTAGATCTACTCATATGGCGCGGTTTATGATCGAATCATTACAGATAGAGAAACAGTTCGCGAATCCTGCATTCCTAAGCATACGCTTATATTTGCGCAGGGTGTGGTTCGCCGCCATAAAGCCCATACAACACATAGTTGAGAAGAGTTGCGTTTCAAATTTATAGCGTGGCCTGGCGCAGCCAGGCCAGCTCGGCGAAGCCGAACTAAAAGAAGAGGAGAGCTCGCGTCAGCGGGCGATCCGACTGGTATCTATAGAACTATGTATTGCTACGGGCTTATTAGCGTACCGCCAAATATAAGCGTGTGCAAGGCTAAGTGGCTGGCAGGATCGCAGAGTTGCTCTATATAATATCAGGTCGGATCCCCGGCTAACGCCGGGTTCCTCTCTTTTGTGGCATGACCCGGCTTCGCCGGGCCATGCGCATTTGCCGCGTGCTGAGTTACGAATCGCTGATCGAGTAACTGTTTCGAAGGAATGTCTGCATCAGCCATGAACTGAAAAGTAGCGCCGTTTCGTCAAAATGCAGAAGCAGCAGGAGCGCCGCTGAATCACAGAAGGCGGGAGCGCTGGCCTCAGCCAGCGATCCGACTGGTACCTCACAACCACAGAAATATTGCAGCCTGTTAGCTTAGCCGCCGAAGGAGCCTACGATTTATGCATTCTGTTGCTTAAAGCGTATTGCTTTGGAATGCACTCCCGCACTGAGCAGCAGTAGTAAATGGCCCTCACTAAGGTTGTTGATGGAAGATAATTCTGTGTAAGGATGATTAGGTCAATTGCTGCTGTTCATAACATCCCTGTAAACAAACCCATGCATTTGGATAGAGCTAGACTTAGCGGTCCTACATTGATGTCGTTGAGGAATGAGTTTTGTTGGAATCATTGAGATCGTTATACTTGAGTCATATCGATCGTATTGCTTGAGCGGTGTAGTGGGATTTTCCCATGTTAACTTTTATTTTGAGCTCCTATTATTTCCGTCACATGATAACAACGTTTGCTTGCCCCATATCACTATCATATCACCGCTATATCACTTCGGATCGAGGTCGCACCGTTGCTGTAACCTTGCGTTACAAAATTGGTGACACTACCCTTCCGAGGCCCTTTATCGAACTTATCGACTGTTATCACTTTCTGTCACCCGCCATAATCTTCTCTCCCACACCCTATATCAGCTCTCAGATCCAAGGTCCCACCATTGCTGTAATCTGCGTTACAAAATTGTGACCCTCCCCTTCGAGGCTCTTTATCGGATCTTATCAATTGTTATCCCTTTCTGCCACCCGTCAATAATGTTCCCGTCCCACGCCTTATACCATCTCTCGGATCCAGGTCCCGCAGCTGCTTCAACTTGCGCCACGATTTCGGTCACTCCTCCCTTCTAAGGCTCTTTTATCGAATTTATCAAGTGATATCACCTCCTGTCCCCCACAAAAGTGTTTCCCGTCTGCCGTGTATATCCACTTCTTGAAATCACGGTCCCGCATCTGCTGCAAACTGCGCTAACGAATTTCGTCACCCTCCTTATCTTAAGGCCCCTTATCGAATCTTTATCAACTGATATGACTTCCTGTACCCACAATCGTGTTCCCGTTCACACCCCCTGATCCACTTCTTGAAATCAATGTCTCGTCGCTATTGGAACCGGCGCTATGAATTTGATGTGGGACAAAACAGACACCACACACACACACACACACACACGCACGGACATAGCGGATTATATGTAGTAGAAAGACCCTTACAGCGCTGTATGAGTAGCCCAGTAATCAGAAGTGATCTATTTCCATTATGGAGCGCGCCTATCGAAGCTAGGCCAGCTCGGCGAAGTCGAGCTACAGGTAAGGATGAGAGCTCGGCGTCAGGCGGGCGACCCGACCGGTATCAGGATATTCCGAGAATATGGCGCGGTGATCATGGTCTTCTAGTTCAGGTAACAGAACGAATACACCATCATCCATTGCAATTGCGTTTTTGTTAAAGCATCAGAGCGAAGCTGTGAAAATGGAAAAGTTACATTCTTACATGTGAATGCTGATTGTACTTTACTCAACACTGAGTGGTGCGACTGTGCCCATGACAGTGCCATGTGTCAAGATGCACTGCTTTTGTTAACAGTACAATGGGCCATACTGGTGAATTGGTCTATTAAATGGTTGTCGTCAAAGATATGCGCAGATAAATAAACGTCAAAGATATGATAGCAGAGGTGGATGGGAGCTAGAACTACAAGAACTGCAGCGACCTCAAGGCTGTCAGCAGAAGAACACCCCTTTGTTCCTTTCAAGGGTCCAGCTGATGCCAAGCCTCTTCGCACACACACGCACGCACACACGCACACACAAAAGCACACACCCACGCGCACACACATACTCACATACACGCACATCTAGGGCGAGCGCGTACTACATGTGAAATTGGAGGCTGATGTATCGCAATATTATACATCTGGAACACGAACAAGGAACAATATGAAACCTCGTTTAGTAATTTTTGGTAAACGATTTCAAATTATTAATTGATTCTGATTCTTCGATTGTGTGCTTATTCACCAGAATTGAACAGGCTCAAAATTACGATGAATAAATTATAAATGTCGATAAAGAGCATCACTGCTGCAAAAACGTAATCCTCCGGTGAAATTTCGTATTTCCGTCCTCCTATTATCATCTGAAAGAGGATACTTTTGTGTTTTTTTCAAATTCTCTCGTGACCTTGAGACGACGGCAGGTATTAGACTATTAGTAAATCGCAAAGGCTTCGCACCTGTATATCCAAGGCAAGATAAACCATAAACAGGACGCACGCGATTGCTACGAATATTATGTGAAGAACCTGTAATACTATACCTTTTCAAGCTGTATACTGTGATTTGCTCAGTTTGCTAGTTTTTCTTCTTGAGCTCACTACTACCCCGATATATTGTGTTTTTGCCTATTTGTGTAATTGTCTGCCACGAAACTCAGAGTGCACATTGAAGTAGCAGTTGGACCTTGGAGGTGGGGGTCAGTTGCTGCGTTCTTCATTTAGACGTGGCGGCAGCTGCGCTTCTGGAGGGACATTCCGGTTTTTTGACATGGCTGTTGAATGCAAGATAGGACATACTTGTATCAAAAGGAACTATCCCACGAACAACGCCATGCTCAAGTGAAGTACACAGAAGCTACTACTCCATCGGGATGTGTCGTGTAAGTCAATGGGAACACAGCCTTTCTCGCTGTAGACGCTAGGGTGTTTCACGGACAAGGTAGAGTTGATTGTGATATGGTGCCTTCCAGTTTTCCTCCCATTGTTGCGCTCGCCTGCTTCAACACCTGGTGGAGTTTACGGCTGCGTCAAACACCTCCCAGGTACTCACCCTCTAGCACGTCCAGCCACTGCGGCGAAAACGAGTGCAACTAACTATATGTCGTGTTTCAATTGGAGGGCAAAACCCACGCTCATTTGTAACTGTCAAAACTCTTTGTAGGGAGGAGTAGTGTGGGTTGGGACGGGCAAATCCTGTATAAGTCTTACGCCAGAAAGTGGTAGGCAGCGGCGATAAGCACACTGTTGCTGCTTGTTTGTTTGCATGCTCTTTCGCTGCCTTCTATGGCCTCTCTCGTGATATACGTAACAATTCTTCACCTCACGCTTTGCACGAAATTGTTTCATTTCAATGTTTTCCTCTCTTTTTTCTTCACTTTCCTTTGCAGGCAGTTCAACTGCCACATACACTTCCATTTCTGACCCAGTTCTACACTTTTCGTTGACACATTGCAAAGTTCCTCAGAGACAGAATTAGGGGCTACCAATTTTCAAGGTTCTTACTCGTCAAAAAGAAAAAAAGCAGGAGCTGTCGAAAATGGACCTATCAGGGCCCTTGTTGTCACAATTGTGATCTTATTTCTGTCCAGCACTGAACAAGATGACAGTTGTCTGAAACTGCAATATCCTATGAGTCACCCTGTTGTGAGCCATATTTCAATGCCCCTCGCTTACCCCGTCTCAGGGATAGGGAACATATCATGCGTGGCTTGGAAAAAGGTGGTTTTGCGAGAGCATACACAAGTTATGAAGATTCCATAACTATGTCGCGATGGTAGAATAACTTCACAAAGATTTAAGGTGCCTATGAGGGCGGAGACTGCTCATCGTGGCAAAGCCGTGGGGCGCTTGTCAAGCATGCCAACAACTCCCTTTGCGTAAGGGATGTAAGGAGGGGCAAAGCTTATCATTGTGGGCAGCTCTTCTTTGAGGCACGGTCCGTGATAAGGAGGTAGGTAGTGGTTTTGAATTTTGGGAGGAAAAATAGTCACGAGAGCCGGAGCGGGCTCACTGGAAAAGGGAGGTTCCTTCGCATTAACTCCACGCCTTGACTCCTTTATCTCACCACTCTTCGCGCGAAACTGGCACGAGTTGTCTCCGTTGCGGACGCACCTCATTTTGCATTGCATAGGTCATAAGGGGCCGTTCGTACAAGAATTAAAAAAGGACCTGGAATAAGTGTGAACCGTGGCTAACAAATATACAGGCTTGCCAAAGTACACATCTCTCACTGGAGTTACGTTAACCCCGTGTACTACACTGTGACTATGGGGATAACACGGCCTTTGTAGAGCCCGGATAATTGGCTCTGTGGGGCGCTTTTCAGTAACTGGCACATAAAATTCTCATTTTAACTTCCAGCTCGTAACTCTGAACCAGTGACCTGCAGCTCATTCGCATTTTTTCTGATTTGAATGATTGAGTAGTTGTTAGTACTCAATCATCCAAATTAGAAAAACTGCGACTAGGATGGCCGCAACATAAGCACTTAGGGGGGGGGGTAGCGTTTTTGTACAAAGATCGAGGTGAAAGTCCTTATCAAGCTGCACCTCAAAATATGTGAACAAATTATGGTGTACCTTAGCATATATGAAGAAACTTAGGATCGATACACCAATGCCGTAAATGAAGAGTGCCATTGTAGCGGCAAAAATGACAAAGATATAACTGCAACGATTTCCAGTACCATGGTGGCTCGAAGAGACGTACTGTGAACATCACCTGGTAATGTCGATTTTTGTTTGAGTAGCAAACAGGATGATAGCAACGCAGCAAAGAGTTGTTGTAGCTGCAGCGAGCAGCACAATGTGTGGTGATATTACCGCACATATTACCATCAGCATCAGCCCCGCAGCCACAGTCTAAGAATTTCGATTGAGTCCGGTTATAACAGGCAGCCGCAGGCGGCATTTTAACTTTGAATTTGAATTCTTATTTGATTTTGAACGAAAAGAATCCAGTTGTTTCATTGCTCAAAAAGTAATCTTCGTGCTCGTGAGATGCTCCTGCAGCACATATTTCTTGCATTGACGTTGCATTAAAAGATGCATTGAATATAAATCATATTATTTTGTTTCACTTATAATGGGGCCTCATAACATTAGGCCTGACTAAAACCTGCGTGATCTTAATTAATCACGAGAAATTTTTAATTCCGCTCCACTAGCGCTACTGCGACTGCGACGGGAAGATGTGGTTGACTTCTTCGCACAGATTAAAGTCTGCCATCAGGCGATTTCTCTGAAGAAAAGATTAGGAAAAAAATCAAGTGGTTGCCAGAGTCCACTGTATGAAAAGCAGGTGACCATACTCAGTAAGTGAGATCCATTTTTCAAGATGTCATCTTCGCCTCTTGCGGTCTCGTCCCAATTATTGAATAAAAAAATAGGCTCTCCAAATCACTTCAAGGGCAGCGTCAGCCTTTTTCTGGAGCTTATCGAAGGACAGACTGTAGACCACGTGCTGGGCCAGTACCCAGCGCCATCGCTTTGAAGCAGGGTGACACAGGCAGACGCTTTTTTCCATGCAGGTCTGCTTTTGGATATAAAGGCGGTTTTTCTCCCTGCGAAATCCTGTGAAACTTGTGACAATGATTTACGTAGAGGACCCAGTTCTCGCTACTAATTGGACTGTGCGCCAAAAAGTCTTTATAATGTGTGTTGAGATCAACAAACCCACTCGCACGGTCTTCACATTGTAGCCGCCTCAAAAAGTTTTCAAGATATATCGGACTGCACTTATATGTCGAGCAGGTGCAGCTTATGTTCCCACTTAGACGGTAAATTTCGGCTATGACGCAGTGTTCAGACTTCGCGACAGCAAAGCTGCTCGACGCGATCAATGTGCATGTTTTCGACTGCATTCATCGCGCCAAACGCACGACCAAAGCTATACAGCAGCGAAGTCTGAACGCTAGCTCATGATTTTGAGCGAACGGTCTTTGTTTTTGTCCGTATTCAGCGCCGTCGCTTCGAAGCCTCATTAATAACACAGGTATAACCTTTCGCATGACTAGCACATTGCCCAACGTCGAATCATCTACACTGTAGTTTGCTGCGGACGGTTTAGCGCGTCAGGCAGGACTAACTTGGCGCGACGCGAAACCCATGCTCCACCAGTTTTCAAAGCGAGGAAACGATATGCTTGTATCACATCGCTCGTATTACTCGTTTTCCACCACTGGGTCGCATGCGCGCTTCAGCAAGAAGACAGGGAGCGGCTTTGACGGCGTGACACACTCATACTGCCTGACCGTCCGGGCAAACTAGAATAAGCGCTGGTACTAACGGGGCAATGTTGCATGCTGGCCGAAATCTTTCTTCAGGAATGCAGATGTCAGCCCGTGTCTACGAGAAGTAGTCCTACGCGAACTCTTAATATAAAACAGTTAAGAAATATCTTGACATATGGCGGTCGTCTGCGGCCCATGAGAGAGTTTTCACGAAGCCGCAACACAGCGGTCTTTGGAAGTGTCGCTTAGAACTGTCCACTAGTCAGGAAGAAGAATGTTCGAAATGTTTTGCAGAACACTTCGTTCTGTTTCTTAGGGCTTCTCATACAATCCAACACTTTTTCAACATTCTCGAACGTATGCCATTGATAAGATTGCGCGAAGAAAGCTCCGCTGCTTTTCGTGTACCTTACTTTTGACAGTAATCACCCTAAAGAGTAGCGAAGCAGACTCAGGACGGCATCATTGGTGTAATTCGTCCTGTAATGTAAAAATTCGTCCTGGCTGCACTCCAATCCACGCCCTGCCACAGGTCCTTCGTTTGCATTCATAACTGGCACATGGCATATTAGGTGCCCAACATGTCATGGTGATCGCTTGCGCTATGTCCTCTTATTCGTCCAGGATCGTCGCCTTTATGTGCAGAAAATAAAAATTGTTCACAAAATGCAACCAGATGAGGTTCTCCTGCTTTCGTTGTTACTTCGCGTTCACTACCTGCTGTCACGGACGCTCCTCTGCTCCAATTTCCGCACCTCATAATAGAGCCTTTGCAAATCGCCACGTCTGCAGGTGGCCACGGACTTTTCAGGGGATTTCATGTTTGGGTTCGCTCCCTCATAGCGCATTGGCACAGCTCAATGCTTAGCGATATCAAAGGAAACATCTGTCAAATTTGAGCAGGAACCTGCGCTATTGGTTGCGCACCTGCCCTATGGGTATGTCGTGTGAATACGCTCAGACAATAGGGATTCCTTCATGTCGCGAGGCATAAACGAAGTTTATAACAAGAGAATTGATAATCAACTGGAACGGGATCAATCGTTATCATGATGATCGTCGTACTTCAGTGTTCCCGATTGTTAGATAACGAACAAGCTCATAAACTGTTTGAACTTACGAATAGCGCCAACATAATGAGGTTCATAGGGAAATTCCTAGCCATTGTTTGACAGCACAATAGTGCACAATACGATATAAAGAATACCACCCTGTAGTAAGCTTTGTTAATCGGCTTTCAGTGAAGAGGGCATTGCCACATTCTGACTCCATGACACAGATATGCGGTCCAGCACCTTTCCTGCTTAGAGACAGTTGATATCGTCAGAATTAGTTGGGGCAGTGCCAGTAGGGGCAAAATGAGCCCACCATCAGCTGTCTTTATCTACCATCAGCGACCGGTTAAAGACCGATTCAGGTAGGGAATAACGGGAGCCGAAAAGGCTGCGGATGGGCTCGTATCATCCTCCTTAAGACCACCCAAATTGTTGTGACGATACCAACTATTGATGACTCTCTAACACGTTGATGGTGTGTATTGAGACGATAATAATTGCAAAGTAAAGATTTCCTCAGCATTAAAGGCCCTGGACATCGCTGGGGGGGGGAGGGAAGGAGGGCGGGTTGTCATCAAAGTCATCCCATCAAAGCCGCTGGCGACAGCCGCACGCGCACGGCAATGTGCCTACCCCCTTGCGTCATCTGAAAAACATGTTAGCTAACAAGTAATGGGTTGACAAAGGAAACTTGAGGGTCCCTGTGAATGAATTGCAATTTCCGTAGTCTCACTATCAGTTGTAACTGGAGCGTGGAGCTGCGTTGGAGCATGTGTAGTGCAGTCCATCAAGAAGACAGCACTAGGTTCTTTATAAAGGTACTAGTCTTTGTGCACCCTTCACTGTCGGTGAATTACGGCGTTTGCAGGCTGAGACGCATGCTGGTACGTGCAGGAACACTTCCTCACCATGCTGCATGAAAATTACTTTCTAGGAATTATGGAGTGGAAACATTTCAAGGTATACAAGTATGGAATCATTTGGGCAGAGATCACTTCCAAAACAGATTCCTGAAGAAGCAAGCTCCAATTCTAGTTAGAGTAGAAGCCAAATCTTGATGCGATAATGGTACGTATGCAACCCCTACCAACCACTGAAGGCTGATAGGCTGGAGGATTTCGCGTATCATCATCTAAGGCAGCACTGCGCTCCAATGGCAGCTGAGACTGCGGATTCGCATGGTCTCCCGAATTTCCATTGTCTTTTCACTCGAATATGTGCTGTGCTGCCACAGTGCTCATTTTAGCAACTAATCAGAATGGCTAATGGAACTAACAATGCAGGGAGGTATATCCATCTGTTTTCAATCATCAGCTCCCTCAGTTCCGTAACTACAATAACAGGTGTCACCATGAGTATGCAAATCAGACACTAAAAGAGAGACTGTAAAATTTGAACATCTTGGATTGGCTTAGCGATTACCATAATTGCCACGATGGCAAAGACTTTTCGGACAAATCCCGCTCTAATAGAGGCATCATCAAATCCAAACTCAGTATTTTTACCACCTTTTTCGATGTCAGGCTGAAAGCTGGTCGTGACTTTTCTTCTACTGAATAAGTGAAAAGTTCATAGGAGCAGCTTGCCGTATCGTAAGAATCCTTGCTTCCACGAAGCGGCGGATTATCGTATTGTTGGTCTTTGTCCTGGACAGGAGGTGCCTGGTCGACCGGCTCGGTAGACATGCTGTTGTCAAATATCTTCGGAACCTACTCTGATTGTTATCGCGAGCATCGTTTATCAATAGGAACCGAAATACAGTTATCAAAGCATTTTCCCCTGCCGTCATCACTTGCTTCTGACCATAGAACAAGATAATTCAAGATAATTCCATTGAAAAGAAAGAGAACCAGAAAAGTTGGAAACTTTTATTACACTCATGATAAACGTAAACTATTGTGCAGTAATGAAAATAGGAGACAGTGGTGCAGGAGGACGAGTGGCGCGCATACCACTTAGGTCCTGGGCTCAAATCTCTGCTGGACTCCCATTAGGTCAACTAGCAACCTTCTACTTTTCGAAGACGACAAATTGGTACCAGGTGTGCCTGATGGACCATGACACTGATGTGTACTTCGGCTGGTCTCCGCAAATGATTGTATAGCCCACATTGCATTGAAGAATTCACTGCGATTCTGAATGGAAGTATGATGCATGCTCTATCCCACAAAGGATCAAAGGCGAAGACTTCATTCTTTTAGCGGAAATAAGCTCAATTTCAGAGCCATACGGACGTTATGCATCTCGGGAGGGGTCACTCTCCAGCGCCTCACAGCCACATCACCTACTACGTCGTGAGCACAACCGCATGCCTTGGTGAGAGGATACAAATTAATAGATGTGAACTGATGAGGCAACGTTTGTGTAAAACTCGGTGTAGTGGTAAGGTCTTGTCTGGATGAAAAAAGCCTCGTATTCCTTCACCGGTGGAGTGGCTCTGTTTGGCTGGAACGATAAAGAGAGTGGTGTGCATATTGGCTGGCTGCGACAGTCATTGTATAGGCCACTACGATTCTGAGTGAAGTAGAATGCATGTCGCATCCTGAAAATAGATTGTCAGCAGTGAAGACCTTACCGTATATCTTTCGTTGCGGCATAGCTACGGAGCAATGCGCTCCCAAGGCACCTAGCGCCGCTACGACGTTAAAGTAACGGCCCGTGATGACCTATGAAAATGCAGAGGACTGTTATGGGAAGGTAGTGCGATCCGCCATGAACAACCCTGTTTCAGTTTTACAGTCAAAAGTTGTAATATGTAAGAGTTACGGTACAAAATTACCCCAATGGTACTTCCCTTTTTTCAGTGACTCCGCCCTCCGGACTCCGCCCTCAAAGCCCGCTTCCCAGCCAGGAGCGAGGGCTACGGCGAGATATAGCATCTAATAGATGCTACATTGTCTCTCTTGGATCGTAGAGTTCATTCAAGGAGTCGAAACTGTAGGCGCTCAACAAATTTTCTTCTCTAGAATTTTACCTGTGCAATGCTCGAGACCGTAAGGGGTCATATTAAAGGTTCCCGCGTTCCCTCTGGCACTCCCTCCCACTGATGAGTCACTTGGCAACTTCCCTTCTACCGTTGCAGCCGCTATAAACTACATGTGAGCTTACCTTCCTATGTAATGAGCTATAGCCCTCTTAGGATCACTGTCTCGAAGCTCAAGATACAAACTAGGTCCGCGAAACCATTGCATGCAGCAAAAAGCCGTTTGAGGCACATATCAGGCAACCAAAAAAGTTCGTGCGGTTTTAAGGTAGCGAAAAAATAACATAAAAAACGGTTAAACTTGGATTTATTCCGAAAAATAATTACCTTCAGCAAGTGATGCACTTTCCAATTTAGACACAAGAGCATATATTCCATTTTGTAAAAATTTTGAATTAATGAAATGTTTTAGTTTTGTTGTCCAAAAGCCACTTCATTTTCAAATCGCTGATTCCTCCTGTGGTGGGCAAGGCCAGAAAACAAATGATAGTCACCTGGAGCAAGTCTGGCGAGTACGGAAGGTGAGGTTAGAATTTCATTGCCAGTCGGTCGTTCGTTGTCCTGGAGGAAAACCGACACTTTTTCTGCTCGCCTCAATTGAAAGTAATCTAAACTAACAAATACACTGAATGGCACTCCTTGACATATGTCTAAAACTGTATTCAAAGTTACCCTACCACTAGATCCAGTTTTACTGAATATGCTTCAAAAAGTAGGTTCAAAAAAATCGCACAAACTTTATTGGCTTGCCTGATGCATCAGGACTACGGAGCGTCCCCCTGTACAGAAAGGGGTGCCGTCGAGATCATGATGAAAGTGTGAGTTTGATGAAACGATCCCGCGAACTGATTGGTTTCAGACTTGCAATAATTCCGAAATGCCTTGTCTGTTATTTATTTCATTTTCCCTTAGGAAAGACGTACCTACCCCTTCCTTAACATACAAGTATCTGGATGACAAAAGAAATGCATCAAAGGTTTTTTACTCTTGAGCGATATGCTGTGTGTAAATGATGATTTATGGCTAACTCACTGCTACTACCAACACAAGCATCGTGATGTGTGGTGCTGTCACTGAGATCCCCTCCTTGAGGGCAGGTTTTGGTATGACCCCCCCCATCCACTTAGAGAAGGGAATTCCCATTCTGAAGGATTCAAGCGTGACGTATTCATACTTTGAAGTCGATTAAGGTGGACCGTGGTCCTTCAACGGTGCTGGTATCCAGTGATACCGTTGGAAGTCCCAGTCCCACCAATACCACACTGAAATTCTTATCCCATTTTGTACGCTCACCTTTTCTTAACACCTGCTTAGATTTTCACGTTTTCACCCGAAGATTTTCAAATCGAACAACAACCATTGAAAGCATTTTCGTCTGGCTATTGCCTTCTCAAAACACAGTACTAGACTCAGAAGCTAACTAGGGGTGTCGCCAAGACAAAGTGGCCAGATGAAATGAGACACAGGTCACGGGACGTGTTCTTGGACGCCTGATCCCAAATCTGCCTTCGAAATTTGCAGAACGATTCTCTGAACGAAGTTATGAAGTTTTTTTAAAACTTGTAAAGCCTTCGGCCTCCGCGGTTCCATGCCCGATATCTAACGATTACGGCTGACCGGCTCACCAAGTTAAACGTGTGAGTGCTGTAAGGCTACGGCATAAGCCGTTAAGCTGAGGAGTGAAATAGGCCCTGGTGGCGTAACGGATAGCGCACTCGCCGTAGAGATGTGAGTTCGACTCCCGCCTGGGGCACGACTTTTGCCCATGACTCAGCATTCTTGTGAAGTTATGAAGCTTTGTACGAATGAAGGGGGAGCTAAGAGCGGCCGTAAGGCAAACTCGCACGATTAACCTCTGAACATCGTTGCGCATTGGCATGGTGGCAAGAGTATCGCTTCACAGGGAGAGCCAGAGGCTAGTTGCATTTCCTGAGAATGCCTCTCTTAGCTCTTGGTGTCTTTTAGCTTAATATCAGGTGTTCGAAATATCTGCGCACATTGAACAATTTTTCGAATTAAATTTCTTGTCAGTAAAGGAGATCTCCAATCTACAAGGTAACCGCAGTTGATGACTAGGAATAGTGCTTTCTTTTGCACAGCTTTCATTTCCATCTCATAGAACTACGGCAACTGTGGTGAAAAGAAGAGGCGGACACCATTCTCGAGTCGAGGTTGATTTTCGGACTTTTGCTTTGTGAAGAATGCGGTAGTGACCAAAGGAGGTGTTATTAGAGGCTGCTAAAGTTTGTTCTAATACCCTGAGTACGTCGCATTTTCTGATTGAAATGCATGATCTTTTGGCCGTTACCTGATCCCCACAGCGGTCCTCGCATTACCGAGTGATAGAGAAAAAATTGAGTATTCTGAATGAATTCAAGCGTGACGTCATTCATATTTCGAAGTCGATCCAGGTGGACCGTGCTTTACAATGGTGCTGGTATGCAGTGATTACCGCTTGAAGTCCCACCAATATCACTGAAATCTTATCCATGCACATCTTCTCTTTGGCTAAGCAAGTCTACTTTTCTGTATGATGATTCCTGCAAGGGACATGTGCATGATGTACGCAAGGACTCCACCACTCGCTACGAACCACAAGATCTCACAAAAAGTTCTTACGCTGTGTTTAAGGAAAAGAAAACTCAATCACGGTCATTCGGTATGACTTGTCAGACGGGTCCAACTCATGACGCATCCTTCACAAAAATTTTTCCGATAACCGAGATTGCGGAGAGGCATGGCAGTTGCCAGTCAGGTGGAGCCTAGAGAGATTGCCAACTTACTGCTAGTTACCTTCGACTGCGCCTCAAGAAGCTTGCGTAAAGGGCCGTCACTCTGTGCTGATGAGCGACCTATACATTGCCTAACACGATTTAAATAAGTCCAGCCTTGAGGCGCTGATGCAAAAGCTACCCTCTGCCAATGCGAGCGATATCTTTCCTCAAGACAACGTAGGTATCAGCTTCCTTGACTACGGCGAAGTGGCCCTACAGGAACTCATAATATGGGACAGGTCGAAAAGCACCTCGATCTCTGGGGGACTTTTAAGCTTTGAAAACTTTCTCAAAGTCATGATATAACTATGTGCAGAAATCCCAGAGGACAGTCCCCACTAATTAGGGATAAAAACATCCAAAATGATTTTTGGCCTTTTTCTAGAACAGTTCAGTCGAAGTGTCGCAGGACTTTTCGAGCAACCTAATATAATCGCGTTTAAGGAGTCCGGTCGGTAACCCATGTAAATCTACAGGATTTTGCGCCTGTGTCCTACGACGGATCACTTGCATGCAGGTGCGCGTAGCGTACGCCGCAAGCATTGTCGCGCCGGACGGTTGACATAATCGTGTCAAGGAAGCAAATTCACATTTTACCTCTGAGAGGAGATTTCCAGTCGATTGTTAGATTTTGACCCAACTCTGAAATAGTGGTGGGTGAATAGAACTAACTAGTGCTTCCAGGCCCAGTCTTTTATCGATTGCCTTCTAACGGAATCTGCCTTTGCATGTTAGGGGAACCGGAACAGTCACACATCCAGTGCGCCAGATATGGCCAGGTGAGGCAAAAATGC